CTTTTCTTTTTATATTTCTAAATCTAGCTTTCATTCATTAAACATAAAAAATAACACCTTTTAAGGAGACCACAGTTCGTCCTACCCATGCTGAATGTTTTTATCTTCTGACTTTTAGTTATAAAAAATAAACGTTTCCAACATTTGGAAACGTTTATTTTTTTATAACTAAAAGTCAGAAGTACAACAAGGTAATTTCCATAGCTTTAACACACACACACACACACACACACACACACACACACACACACACACACACACTTACTTCACTCACACATCCTCTCTTCTACACACATCTGTCTACATAACCATAATAGTACAATAGTATGCTTGCGCTCACAGACAGGCTCACAGTCACATGTATAATAATAATAATATAAATGAACAGTAATTATAAGCATTAATAGTGTTAAGCTAAATACGTACTCAGTATTCTGATTGTAACTCACTGGTATTCTCATATCACATGCTTTAAAGAAAGGTAATGGGAATACTTATATCAAGACGGTTAAAATGAAGTTTAATAGATGATGGTCAGAATGAACATCGGTATCTTTCTTTGTCATAGATCAGAAGCCTAGGTATTTTACTTCTGATTGATATTTTTATTTGAGGGAACAAGGAATGTTTATATAGTCCAAAAAGATGGAATTAATGTTTCTAGTGCAAGCGACAATGTATAATTCATCGAAGTAGACGAATGCAAGATGTTGAAATTTTACATGCTTTCGAATAAACTGATTCAATTTTTCTTTATCATGTTGTCTTGTGTTGCCGACCCATGCTGTCATACTGAAATTGATCATACCCTTTATGGAAGACTAACTGAGAAAAGGCATTTAAGCACAGAGCGAAGTAAACATACCGGGTTGTCACCGAGTAGCGCACGCTGTAGACGTGCGGAATCTGTTATTTGCAATGTATGCTAATTAACTATGATGTTTCTAAGTTCATCTCACTAAACACTACCAACCCCTTCCTTGTCTAAAAAACTTTATAAGTTCAACTCACTAAACACTTCCAACGCCTTCTGTACCAAAACATTTTCTGAGTTCAGAGCTCAGTAAACACTACCAACACCTTCTTTAGCAATAAAACGTTCTACGTTCAACTCACTAAACACTGCCAACAGTTTCATTACCAACAACATTTCTAAGTTCAGCTTACTAAACGCTACCAACACCTTCATTACCTAACAAACTTTTTAAGTTCAACTCACTAACGACTACCAACGCCTCCATTCTCGATAAAACTTTCAACGTTCAACTCACTAAACACTACCAACACCTTCTTTAGCAATAAAACTTTCTAAGTTCAACTCACTAAACACTGCCTACACCTTCTTTACCTACAGACTTCAGCAAAGTTAAGGACCACCTTGACAGGTAGTCCTTATTTTTTTAAAATCCGAAATTTCTGGTGCTCGTCATTAACAGACGTACGATCTCGAACTGTGCTCACTTTGGTGGCAACATGAGCCGCTGTTTGCGCAAAATCCAGTATCGAATCAACATACAACCAAGAAGAAAGCTGAGAGACTTTGATCGTACCAAAGATATCGCATGGCTGCAGGATGGAGTTGGAGCCCGAGAAGTTACCAGAAGGCTTGCAGTGTCACACTCTGTCATTGTTTACCTGAGGCAGCGCCATCAAGTCACTGGATCCGTCCCAGAACGCCCACGTGCAGGTCGACCCAGGAAGACCACACAGAGTGTTTGTAAGTGGTCCTTAACTTATGTTGAAGTCTGTATAACATTTCTAAGTTCAGCGCACTGAACACTACCAACACTTTTATTACCAATTCCATTTCAAAGTTCAGCTCATTGAACACTCCCAACAGTTTCATTACCAACAACATTTCTAAGTTCACCTTACTAAACACTATCAACACCTTCATTACCTGAAAAGAATTTTCTAAGTTCAACTCACTAAACACTACTAACGTCTTCCTTACCTATAAAATTTCTAAGTTCAACTCACTAACCACTACCAACGCATTCGTTCTCAATAAAAAATGTCAAGATTCAGCTCACTAAAAACTACCAACAGTTTCATTACCAATAACATGTCTAAGTTCAACTCACTAAACACTACTAACGCTTTCTTTAACAATAAAACTTTCTAAGATCAACTCACTAAATACTACCAACGCCTTCTTTACCAATAAAACTTTCAAAGTTCAATGCACTAAACACTACCAACGCCTCCATTCTCAATAACATTTCTTAGTTCAGCTCACTAAACACTACTAACGCTTTCGTTACCTATAAAATTTCTAAGTTCGAGTCCAACTCGCTAACCAACACCAACACCTCCATTTCCAATAAAACTTTCAGAGCTCAACCCAAGAGCCCAAACACTATCAACACCTTCTTTACCTATAAAATTTCTAAGTTCAACTCACTACACACTACCAATGTCTTCTTTAGCAATAAAGCTTTCAAAGTTCAGCTCAGTAAACGCTAGCAAAACCCTCTTTACCTAAACAAAACTTTCTAAGTTCAGCTTACTAAACACTACCAAAACCTGCTTTACCAATAACACTTTCTAAGTTCAACTCACTAAACACGACCAACGGCTTCTTTGCCTATAAGATTTCTACGACCAACTCACTAAACGCTATCAACACCTTCTTTATCTTTAAATTTCTAAGCTCAAGTCACTAAACACTACCAAAGCCTCCTTTACCAATAAACTTTCTAAGTTCAGCTCACTAAACACTACCAACACCCTTTATTACCTATTACATTTCTAAGTTCAGCTCACTAAACACTACCAATGCCTTCTCTAGCAATAAAACTTTCTAAGTTCAACCCACTAAACACTGCCAATGCCTTCTCTAGCAATAACACTTTCTAAGTTCAACCCACTAAACACTGCTAACTCCTTCTTTACCTATAACATTTCTAAGCTCAACTCACTAAACTCCACCAATGCCTTCTTTACCAATAAACTTTCTAAATTCAACTCACTAAAAACTACCAACAGTTTCCTTACCAATAACATTTCTAAGCTCAGCTCACTAAACATTACCAACGCCTTCTTTAACAATACAACGTTCTAAGTTCAACTCACTAAACGCTACCAACGCCTTCTTCAACAATTAAACTTTCTTAGTTTACCTCACTAAACATTACTAAAGCCCTTATTTCTAACAAAAGTTCAACTCACTCCACTCAACCATCTCCTTTACTAGAAAAAAATCGTTTTAAACCAATGTATTAAGCTTAACATCTATATGTTTACTTCCAACACACCATGTGCTCACACACGTCACCAACACACACTAGGGAATTTAAAGATCAACAAAAAACTCGTGGGGCAGGATCACATAAAACAAAAAACATACCATCTTTTTTCCCGGGCGCCTGGGCTGCTTTTCCAACATATCACCAAAAAAACCAACAACCACACGGGATACCTCGAACATTACCACTTCCCTTCTAAACCCACAACATCAACATTTTCTACTCAATCTAAAACAACGCAACTTTTTGTTTCCCCCCGTAAATCACATACACATACAACACTACCATACACCACCTCGACCCAAAAACACTACCCAAAACCAGCTCCATTTAGAACACTACCCAAAACCACCTCGATTTTAGATCATTACCCAAAACAGGGAGTTTTTTAAAAATCATTACCTAAAACGGGCAGTTTTTTAAATCATTACCTAAAACGGGCAGTTTTTTAAATCATTACCTAAAACGGGGGTGATTTTTCCCCTCTCTATCTACTAACAGGCACACACTACGCCCCTTCACAAAGTAATAATTTATTGTTTTTATACAACCAAACAGCCATGTGTATATGGTCGCTTTTAAGCACAAGAGGCTATCAAGAAAAATGTTTTGAGAAAATCGAAGATAACGTTTTTGGACCCTTGTTCAGTTTGTTTAAAAGACAAGGAGAGTTTTCTCTATAACCAAACAAATATACACACCGATGAAACCAAACTTCTGCTATAGGTAGGGCAATGCCCACTTTTGGAGTAGGTCAAATCTGGGTTAGTATGTTTATCCTTAAAAGCGACCAAATCCTCTCAACGGTTCCACGTCTGGGCGATGCGATGACACTCCATATCCTGCAGCCACGAGATAAACATCACGACATCAGTGTGTGTGTGTGTGTGTGTGTGTATATATATATGTGTGTGTATGTGTGTGTGTGTGTGTGTGTGTGTGTGTATATATGTGTGTGTATGTGTGTGTGTGTATATGAGTGA